AGCCGGGGAGGCCGGGCGGGCAGGGAGGGAGGGAGGGAGGGGGGAAGCCGGGCCTCGCCTCCGCCTCCTCCTCCTCCTCCCCGGAGCCGGCAGGCGGGGGGGGGGGAACCGGCCTCGCCGCCGCCGCGGGGAGATGGGGGGGATGGAGGAGACGGAGCTCTTCTCCCCCCTCCCCCGCGAGTATCGCGGGTCCCCCCTTGTTTCTACTAAAACCAAGGACAGTTGTGGCAGTGGCTTATTGGACAATGTCTGTCTTAAGATCCCTCAGTCCTTACCAGTAATCTAGGACTTAGGAGAGTAAACTCCCCACAAGAACGAAAACAGCACACATCTGATGCACTAGGTGTGCCTGCAGTGTGTATCTTTTTACTTCTGGGCATATCACACACCTTTGGAAGTGTGTGGTATCTGCTTCTGAGCCACACCACGTAGTGCTTTCCTTTACCTGTCTCAAGACTTCCTTTTTTCTGTCCTGCTAAGCAGGGATCTGGGTTGAAATGTATGAACCTGTTACAGGCAACCTACCTTTAAGAAGCAAGCCCTTCACCATCCCCCCAGAACACCAGCTAAATTTTGGAATAGCCCTTTCACTGACAGATCATAACACATCCAACTTCCCTGCATTTAACTTCTGGTCAGCAGGCAGTAGAGTCAACAAATAGCTAAGTCTCTGGCTCTGCCATGTACCAGAGCAGGATCCTTCCAATATCATTTCACCGTTACATCTCTGCCTTTGTTTTAAGGAAGAGATGTTTAATGTTAAAACAGGTTAAGGACAAGGATTGTTACAAAGCACCACAGAACCAGGGGCATTTTGGACATTTCTAGCTGAGTTGGCTCTAAAAATCTTACTCACAGCATAAACAAATGATGAGAAGCACTGATTCTTGTATTTTGGACATGGCCAAATAGCTGTTCTCAAAGCAAAACCTTTAGAATTGCAGGCAGAGCAGACGCCCCCTTGCCAGTTATGTGAATTATTGTGCTGTTGGAAATCCCATTATTAACCAAACACTCTTACAGTATTTGCAGCCCTGACAGCATGAAAACAGGGAATGCAATCCTTTAGAATCCACCAGGTTTGTAGCCAAACAAGAGAGATGGATTCTTCCCAGATTCCCCTTTCCCGTAGCAGTCCCGTTTCTCCCCTAGAAAGATACTTAAGAGTCCTAGGGCCCATGTGGCAAAAAGGCTGCATGAATCCTCAAGCAGAACAGGGAGGAAGATTTGGGCTCAGTCTCCCAACACTACAGCCCTCCATACTTTCCAGGCTGTGTCTTTGTGAAGGAGGTTTAAAAGGAGACTCCAGCAGGGACAAAAAACATGAGGCATATCCAATGCATCATGCTGGCAGTTGGCTGAATGTAGTCAGTCTACTGTAGTATTTTCAAATCAACACTGCAAGGGTAGGAGGACTCTGCACGGCTATCTATTGAGTGGAGCTGGTAGTTCTGAAACCAAGTTTATAAGCCTATGGACAAACACCTGGAAGTAAGCACCACTGGATACCTGCATAACTAATTCGGGTTGTATGACACTATTACCATACTTCAGGCTGTGTATATGTACTATTAAAAAAAATCCATATTCTGTCTAAATTGTCTGTATCTCTACAATGTATGCATCTTGTGCTGTGGGGAATATCCCAAGCACTATGGAAGGCATAGAAGCCCTGCTAGAAAGCCCATCTTAAGACTCCACCCGCATTTCTACACTCTTGAAGCTTATCTCCATATTTCAAAGGGCCAGAAACTATTTTTTTAAAGAGAATTCAGGTACTCATATTCTGCATTTGCCTATCACAAAAAAGCAGAGAACTAATTGAGGCAAGTGTGATATTCCAGATATAAAGCCTCTTCCACCCTGACATGGGCTTTGATTACATATGTTAGAACCAGTGGAACATACAAGATCTTCTGAAAGACGGAAGGCCCAAGCCATATTGATGGTTTTCATGAGGCAAAAATATAATTTAAATGACATTGAATGCATTAACATCATTCTGAAGGGGAAGTTAGTTTTGCTTTTAAGAGGGCAAAAACATTTAAATTTAACATCAATTTAAGTGCACAATGCCACTCCCAAATAACTATTTCACACACACACAACTGGATTGTACTAGTTTATAGTCTTTACTTCAAAAGCATTGCCAGAAATAACCACATGGTGGAGTTACTGCACAAGTGCACTAAAGCAGATCTCCTTTAGGGAAACCATGTTAAATAAGAAAATCAGAAGCACAAAAATCCCAGTGCACCATCCAGATGAGGGACGTTTAATTGCCCTGCTGATTCATTACCAGAGTCATGGTGCTAACTAGAACAGATCATGTGGGCCGCATTTGGAGTTTTAGACTAGCACTATGGTTAGGACGAGAGTTTTGCGAGCTTCCTAACGGTGAATGCAGGTAGGATATTTGGCCTACACCTCCATACACCACCATAACAATTGCCATTCAGCACATAGTGGGAAAACACAGGGCAAGAGATAACTGTGTGACCTTCACATGTGATTGTGTAGGTAAATGTAGGATGATTAAAAAGTATAGGAAAAGTTTGGATGCAAAGGACTGGCAAGATTATTTCTGCAAGCATGACCCAGACTTTTAAAACAAAAGCATGTAAGTGTGGGGAGAGTTCACTCACACAGGACCATTCACAGCTGGTTGTGTTATAAAAAGGGACAGCACTGCAGGCTTGGTATACTGATGCCAATTTCTAATTCACACATTAAATACCCCTGGGGAGGCATTGTGGCTGACTAAACCTATTTTTACACTTGAGTGTGCTTCGATTTGAGCTCAAACACTGAAGGAGAGGGATGGTGGGCTGTTTAAAACTGTTTCTCATCCTGCTGTAGGAGACACTAACAAGCCATAAAAGGTAGATGCACACAGCACACACACAGCCTTGACCTCTTAACGTTTCTTAGCCAGTAATCAGAATCTACTGGTTAACGTTGTGTGTGCTGGATACTGAACAATCATCCTAGGAGAACTTTTGCTCTGTGTCTTGTTCTAAGTGGCTCCTTGGAGAGCAAAGCAGCTGCAATGAAAAATAAAAAAACAAATCAATGTCTTTCTTGCTTGATGCTGAGCCTCAAAATAGGTTTGTTTTGAAGAGTTTTTTTTTTTTGAAGACAGGCCCCATCGCTTGCTTCAGCCTTGATGCCCTCAGTGGTGTGTTTTTCATAACTGGTACCATGACCTGGTTTTAGGTTCATAATTTCTTGACTAATAAAACAAATCCAAACACTGACATTACAAAGAGTTAAAGGAAACAAAAACATCTACAGCTGCTTCTAATACTGTTCCTCAAAATACCGAGATATTCTGTCCCTTGGACAATCCCGGACACCATAAACCATTGCTGAAGTCAGAAAAAAAGTTGCTGTTTCAAGATACATTGTGTTCTTTGGGGGGAAAGAGACCGGGGAGGGGGAGAGGCAGGCAGGGCTAATGCTTTTGGCAGATCTCCCCTCCAAGTCAGATACTGCAGCACCATTAAATAGATGCCTCTCTGTAAAGCATAAATCATCCACAGATGACAACACAGAGATGTCACAGTTTATAGAGACAGATTTCTTTTTCCCAGTCCCAGAAAAGCCATTTATATCTCCTTGCCTTTCCCAGGCATTATTTCTTGGTTGTTTTGCGGATCAATGCCATCCTCTGTAAAGAGAAAAACAAGAGCGTGAGTCAGGAACACGGGGCCTCAGCAAGATGCTTGATGAATGAGCTCTAGACATTACAGCTGGAAGGCACCCTCTGATGACTGACCCCTACTGGGGGCCTGGAGTGTATTCAGAGAGGTGGCTGAATAAAGCCTGCCCCCGCCTCCCGACTGCTGGCATTCCAAGGAGGTCTCCCATCCAAGTGCTTGCCAGAGTTGACCCTGCTTAGCTTCCGAGATCTGATGAAATTGGGCTTGCCTGGGCTATCCAGATCAGGGCCTGTATCTTTAACACATTGAGGGTGTTTCCCCTTCTCCCCAGAATGGCCTGCATGCCACAATCTTCTGGCACTCACATACTTGAATCATCCAGACACTTCTGCCTAAAGTTTCAGAGTGCATCATCTTCTTTAGGTTAGTTTATTAGACAGTGGGTCCTTACCTGTTTATGAGCTTCGGTAGTGCAGGCTTTTTTATATGGCCTAATTTCTTCGGAACCAAAACCTGGGATCCACATATTCCACTGGCGTTCTACAGCAAAGCAAAGGTGGAAGTAGAGGGTTTCAGTCTAAGCTTACACAAGGTGCCCTCCAGAGCAATCTCCATAGCCCCCTCCACCCAACAAAGGCATGCATATGAAATGACTGTGAGTTTCTTCAGGTAGGTATCTGCATTTTCCAAAGCCATTCAGCAGACATATGGCGAAACCTTCTCTGTCTCCATACCCTCACGTAACCCCCTTTGTGTGATACCTATGACCAATGCTCCCTCTAAGCTGTGGAGTCTTGTGAGCAAAAATTCTACTTTGTGAGCTACTGGCATTAAAGTTGTAAACCAGCGATTTGGCTGTTGCATAAATTAGTTTGCTCTGCAGCCATCCTTCCTGAGCCAGGACAAAAATGCGTGAGCTGGAAGCTAAAAAACTGTGAGCTAGCTCACACTAACTCAGCTTAGAGGGACTATTGCCTGTGACTCTGTGGAAATCTTTTGTCTCCAGACCTAGTCATCCTGCCCCCTCCCTCAGGATATCAAGACAAATTGATCAAATTGATTAAATCATTAACAGTTCTTCCTGACAACTATCAGAGATTCACTCTCCCCATTTTAAATCTAAGCCTCGGAACCCATTCAACCTACCTCGGCAGGACCATCAATGGTCAACAAACCCATTCAATCTGCCCTGGTAAGACCATCAACCGTCATTAATCTCATCAAGGCCCAGCCCGGGAGACCACCCCTCAAATTCCTATAGGAACAGAGAGCAAGCCCCACCTCAGTGTGCACTCTGAGGGTGCCTACTATAGGGTACACCCCCATAGCCTCTGCTTTGGGTCTCCTTTCTTAACATGAAACACTGGCCGTTTGTGCTCTCTTCTACATGAATATCTGCACGATAGGTAGTATAACCCCTATAACTGCTCCATAAATATCTCTATCGTCACCTCTTTATTTCTTAGTTTCTGGACTGTGTGTATATTTTGATTGCTTAGTGTGATTGTATGCAGGGATATTCTTTAATAAAACTATTGAACACTCTTTAAATCTGGAGTCTTCATACTGAACTGGACCTTGGTATATAAAGGTGTGTGATCTCTTGTACCCTTCTGGTCTCCTCGGTCTCATAGCTAATTTCCCCCAATATCGAGACAGGCCACTTTTGACAACAGTAGATAAGACCAACATTCCTCAAGTTCAGTATTTAGAAAGGAAAAAGCCCAAAGCACCTCCTGCTGGCCAGGCTTGTAAGAGCTACATAAAATGAGAAACAGAAATAAAAGTTGTTTTGACAGGAGTTGGATTCTCTGCATTTTAATTCATCGCTTTTTGGCAGGATCTGAGAGGTGCCCACAAGAGAGCAAAACTGTTACGTCCCTCCCTGCAACTATCTTGAAGAACTGAATTCGAGGCTGGGTAACAAAACATCACATCTGCCTAGAGGTGCAAGGAGACATTACAGCAGTGGTGAGGGAGCCACACTGCTGTGATTCAATCCCACAGTGCTGCTGAAAAGGTCTGGAACCACACGGGAAGAAGCAGTCACATAAGTCCTTCCCATCAGCATGGCATCCCCACGTCAGCTGAGCAACAACCAGGTGGGAAGGACCCACTAATCTCAACCTTTCAAAAGAGAAATCAGGGAATAATCAAAGTATGTCCTCGTGCTCAAGATGTTCAGCCTATGGACTCTCCTACAACATCTCCTGAGGCCCTGTTCCCTCTGAGGCATGCAGTCTCCATGAGCAGAAATTTTAACCCGTGAGCCAAAAATGGTGCTAGCTTTAAAATTGTGAGTGGGCTGACATTTTTTTAATTATTTCAGTTTACAAACATAAAACATAAACTATTACCTATCTAGCGGTTTTCTAATCTTAGTTTTAATGGTGTTTATCAAGATAAAACCTCTCTTGCAATCAGTACTTGAGGCTTGAAAAGTTCCACAAACATCTAGAAGACTTAGTTCACTTACAAAATACACACTACACAAAAGGAATTTACTTTCCAAATACAGGATCAAACCAATTGGATTTGCACTTTGTAAGTGAGAATTCTCTTGCAAGATACACACATAAAAATGTTTTCCACTATGGACAGCTTCCTCAGCATTTCATAAAGCATTAAGCTTCCTGCTGAGAAGGCTTTTTTCCCTTAAACCTAAAATTCATCAGCCCTTCTACACTCCTTGGGCAATCTCCAGCTCTCCAAGAAGAATTCTATTCACCATACAATGGAAGTTCACAATACATCTCTGAGAGGGGTTTGACAACCGGAGACAGAAGAAGAGGAGGAGGAGGAGGAAGAGGAGATTGGATTTATACCCTGCCCTTCACTCGGAGTCTCAGACTGGCTTACAAACTCCTTCCCCTCCCCACAACAGACACCCTGTGAGGTAGGTGGGGCTAACAGAGCTCTCTTGAGGACTGCCCTTGAGAGAACAGCTCTGAGAGAACTTGCGACTGACCCAAGGTCACACCAGCAGCTGCATGTGGATATCAAACCTGGTTCTCCCAGATTAGAGTCCGCACACTTAACCACTACACCGAACTGGCTCTAAAAAAACTGGCTTTAAAAATAAGTATTGTGGCTTGGTTTATATTATTTTAAAAAAACAGAGCCTAGGTAACCTGAGAGTGAACAGGGATGTTGAAAAAGTTCAGACTACTGCTGCTGCAGCAATGTAAGAGAAGATAGAATGTTGAATTGTTTGAAACATAGCAAATCAGTTATGACAGAATCATATAACCTCAATTGGGAAAAGCTGTTGCTCTACCTTCGTTTTTTGTTTTTTTTTACTGATCCCACCTGCAACTTATGGTGCAAAAGACAGCAACCCCCCCAGCCCCCCCCCCAAAAAATTCCAGCCCTAAGAAGGGGTGTTGTATATTATTCTAGCAGGCAGCACCAAATCCAAAGAGGCAGAAGACCCAGTTAATACAACTTGTTTTGAGAAAGTAAGCAGCATTCCCAGAGATGGTTTCCATTGCATCAATAGCATTTCTTGCACAGTATGTAGACTCAGTTCTGCTGCCAGAGGTATTTTGGGAAATCTTACAGTCAGTCCAGTTATTAGATTTAAATCCATGTTATAGCAAACTACAATAAAATTTTAAAAATTATCAAGCCATCCCTGCAATGTAAATGTACCAGAGGTTTGAGCTTGTTTTTTAAATTATGTCATTTAAAATTTGATAAAAAGCTGACGTGTAGAATGAAGGAAAGTTTTTAACAAAATGTTGATGGTGACCAGAGAGGGGGCTTTTCCAGTGGTGGCACTTTGCCTTTAGAATGCCTTTTCCCATGAGGCAGCCTGACACCTACCTTACTTTCCTTTAGGCATCATACTAAAACATTCCCCTTTATGCAGGCTGTTATCTCTAAAATTGTTTATACCCCGCTTCTGGCCCACAGTTCATTTTATCCACATAATCGTAGGCGGATCAGTATGTATTCTATGATATCATGCCCTGGCTTTAATGGCTTCTTATTTTTAGTAACTTATATTAATGGCAGAGGATTGTTTTATCAATATAGCTGTAAGCCTCCTCAAGCAAACCTCTGGAGAAGCAGCATATCAATTTTCTAAATCAAATAAATACAGTAATGTAACCTGGACATGATCAGTACATGGAATACCATGGCCAAGTCTAGTTTCTAAAAGCCAGATAAAGCTCACTTCTAAGCTCAAATAATTTATATTTTCGTCTTTTACTACTGTCATTGAAACAAGAAACCTTTGACTTCTTTGGCCACAACTCCTGGCATGTTTTCCTGAAGAATACAAGAACTCCTCTGCAATGCTCCCCCCCCACCCCTGGGAAGTCCCTCCTCGAGGGTTGCACGCATGCAGGCGCCCCTTTCCTCCTGCTGTTCGACTCGGTCGCTGAGCTGGACCACACCACACGCAGGCCAGACATGGGCAGGATTTCCTCTGCACCCTCTGCACTTCCCATGACAACTCGCCAATGCAGCCCTGCACTGAGCACTGCCGCCCTTCCTGCCTTTCTTCCCACAAAGCCAGGCTCGGAGCCTGCTCTCTTTCCCCCCACTGTAGCCAGCAGGCAGGCTGGCCGCTCATTGTGCTCAGATCAAAATCTGTGCATTCCCACCCGACAATGAGTGGGCCCAGCACACATAGCTCACCTTACAGGGGATACTGCTTTTGACTCTGAATTTTGCCCCGTCTACAATGAGAAAACCTAGATTCCTAACACTTAAGGGTTTTTCCCAGCTATTTAAGACAGTAGCCCCCCCTTCACCATCTTTGGAGGAGGAGCTGGGTACGTACATGACAGTTGTCACACATAGGTAGTCTTCCATTCCTCCACATGGCAGCCATCACTACACAGTTCCCATTTGCAAGAAACAACTCACTGCATAGATCAGACTATTTTGTCCATGCTGTCTTATGAAGTCTGCAGCAGTCTGGAGACAGCCCAATCCATCAGGGGGCACAAAAGGCTCATCACAGAGTGACAGGGGCCACAGAGTTCTTTTCAGCCACAATTTCTGCCCTGGCCCAGAGAAGCTTACCAAGGTGCAACTGGACATCTTTCACTTCCAGGGTGTTGGATTTGCGGTGCCGTGCAAGCTGGCAGGCAGCTGTCACCACACTTTCAATGAAGTCATCAGCAATCTGCAGCAGCATCTGTCAAAAACAGAGGAAGGAAGAAGCCATGCATGTTCAGTGGTGGGTTTCAGCAGCTGACATTACAGGCATGTGATGACCTGTAACACCACCTGATCAGCACAAGACGAATGGTCCAGCCCCATGAAGGATGGATTCGAGTGTTTTAACAAAGACGTACCTCCTCTACATCTTCATCCAGCTGCTCATTTGGATCCACCTCCCGGACAAGATCCTGCAGTTTCTTCTTGGTTAAGATCTGGGGGGATGTGAAGGGAAATCAAACATTAGCACAACAACGGCCATTACATCAATTCTCACTCCAAACTATAGAAAGAAGATTAAAACAATCCATGAGATATATGCACTTTTGCTGAAGAACATACAAGGGGGGGGGGAAATGGCCAAATGTTTCCAGACAGGACTCTAGGAGGCAGTTATATTTGAAAGACATATCTGAATAAAGATTGAGCCTCCATTTTAGGTTGCAGGATAGGTAGCACCAGGCATACTCAAATGCAACCAACTTTTAAAACTCCCCCCTCCTCCTCTTGCTTCTCCAGTACCTGAAATGAAATTACCTGGCTGCTCTCAGGACTGAGACGGCCCCCGCTGCTAGGAGTCCCAGGCATCTTTGCCACAGTGGTATTGTTTGCCATGGAGCTATGTGGGGAAGTACTAGCAGGTTCTGGCTTGATTGACGAAAAATTGGATAAGTTGATCAAAGTAGAGGGACCAAACTGGTTCATAATCTGCTGGGCTTTAGCCTTCAGATCATAGAGTTTGTCAAGGTCTTGCTTCTTCTTGGGAGTGTGAGGGCCTAAACCAATCAGCTGGAGGAAAAAAACAAAACCCCATTGTTAGAAACAGCAAGGAAAGGGGTTTAAGAAGGTGGAGAAGGTGTAAAGGTAGCCTTTTTAAAACTATTCCTGACAGGCAGGATCCCAGATGTTTCAAATTGATGAAATCTTTGGATATACATTTACAGAAATAAGCTTTCACCAATCACTGAGGGAAAACAACTTACTAAGTTACATTTAAGCCACTTCGTAAGAAGTCAGGGGGGAGTTTTTCAAGGCCTCTTTCCTAGAATTAACAGTAACACAGTACGTAAAGCGTCACAATGTGGAAACCTGAGTATAGTTTCTCCTCCTATGGATCCCAGATGTTTAGTCTTAACCTTTCAGATCAAACGTTCAAGGCAGCCCCCCCCCCATATGCCTGGCTCCAAAAGCAAATGTGAGGTGCTAGTTGATCTTCAGTTATTAGCTGGCCACTGAAACATGTGGACACCTCCCCCATCTGAAGTTCTAACAGAATGGAATGAAAAGGAAAGCTTCCCAACATACAGCTCTAGCTACATCTGGACATTGCTAATTTACGATACTATTTGTTTCAAACTGAATGTCTAGCCATCTTATAGTTTGGCACTGTCCACACAGGAAACAGATCAAGGTATGTTACAGTGTAAAGACACATTTTCATTAAATCATGATACTTATTTGACTTCATTTTAAGTCATGTTTATCGATCTCTCATTTCAGTCACATCTTCCTTGTGTTCAGTACAGACCCTCGTTGAGATAGCGATAGCTTCTCAAACCTCACAAAAGGCATGGATTCCTTTGGTTTATATGTATGGTAAATATGAACAGAGGAACATCTTAGGCTCTAGATGAGCACAGATTCAGATTAACAGGCTCCATCATTCCCAACATACCATTTCTGGAGAACATACCCTTGGACTCACTGTTCCAAAGCACCATGACTCTGGGTGATCCCTTAGGGTTTGCCCAAAAATGTTCCTGCAAAAACCTGCTCAGTTAATTCCAGCAACAGTTCAGAATTCAGAGGGGTCTTTCTCAAGAGTTTTCTTCATCCATTTAAGAATGCCAGTGTCTTGCACGTGCCAACAGTTCAGACCATCAAGTTCAAATTTGTAATCAACTACATCTATTACCCAAATGACAAAAAGGCTCAGTTCAGACTCACCAAAGCATGTGTAATATCCAATAAGTCTTGGTCTTATATGCTTCCCCCTGGATTCCCATTTGCTCTTCATGTTTGTCAACAAACCAGTTTGTCATTAAATGTGAACCAGGCAAACCATGTTTTTTCCAAAATCACAGTTTGCATGGAAAGTTCATAAACCAGGCCCGGATAGATTTCTTTGGCATGGAGAGCCTGCCTAAAAATTTAGAAGCCGGGCTTATCTTTCAGCCTTCAGGGTTTCAAAATTTTAATGACCACATTTTTCCAATTATTGCCACCACAGAGCCTAATCCTCGCTTCTTTACAGTTTCTTGTGATTTTATTTAAGCATGATTTATGTCCTGGCCCCATTGGTGGACCTCCTGATGGCACTGGTATTTCTGGCCACTGTGTGATACAGAGTGTTGGACTGGATGGGCCTTTGGCCTGATCCAACACTGGCATCTCTTATGTTCTCTTATGTTCTTAATGACAAAAGTATTGCAGTATATAAATAATTAAATACAAGAGTAACCCTGGCAGTCATCATTACTACAAAAAGTTGACCTCTAAGACTAACCTAACCTCTCCCCAATTTCTCATAATTTCATTATTAGTTTTAAAAGCTTCATATAATTGAATATTGGAGCTAGTATACCGGTAGAAAGCAACTAGTAAAGAAGTGAACGTAGCTACCACCACTGAAGGGTATAAAGTTAACATATAAATCAGCAATGACAAGAATTCCATGCACATGCATTTTTATGCCATACAACAAAACATATTCTGATGTGAAATGATAAGCTTTATAGTTCTGCGGATCACCAAGAAACACTACAAATGAAATCCTTGCTGAAAATACTAGATGCGACAATGACATTTCTAGGCGCCATGGCAACCGGCACCTGAGATTTGTTAAGCTCTGTCATAAGGAAGGAGGAACCATCATTTCACAACTAAAAGGAAACCTAGACAGGAACTAAAGCACAGAGCAAGAGGAGAATATATGATTTTGATCCTCATGTAGCATCGAACGATGGTTCTGATTCATATCTGAGCGTGTTGTTAGAGGTGAACACTATTAATTTCTTTCTGTGGCTTAACATGGATAACATGTAATTTTTTCAGATGTGATATGCTAATTTATCTTATTCTGCACTGCAGCTTTCCTTACAATTTTTACTCAGTGCACACCCTTAATATCATATCAGCACCCAAAGGCATATTACCCCAATAGCAAGGCAATCAACGAAGCATTTTTCTCATTCATCTACTTCATTTAAATAAAACAGAACAAATTTTCTGTTAGTACTAAGCTGCACAAAGGACACAAAAAACACCTAGCAATTCCAATCCATGTTATAATCATGCACGATTCTGTTCAAGGTATTTTGGAAGAGAAGTCCATGCTGTGGCAGAAAACCCTGTCCCAGAATGATCACCACTTTCAAATAAGGGCAAATCCTTCACTTTACAGAAAAAACTGTGAAAACCAGTCTGCACAAAATGTGAAGAAGGAATAGGCACTGAATAAGGTAATATTCTGGAGCTGCGGTGGCTCAAGTGTTTAAGACACTGAACTGCGGGCTGTGGAAGGTCGGTAGTTCAGCGGTTCGAGACCCGGGTGCCACATGACGGAGTGAGCTCCCGTCTCTAGTTCCAGCTCCTGCCAACCTAGCAGTTCGAAAGCAAGAAATTGCAAGTAGATAAATAGGTACCACTTCGGTGGGAAGGTAACAGCATTTCGTGCGCCTTGGTGTTTAGTCATGCCGGCCACATGACCACGGAAACGTCTTCGGACAGCGCTGGCTCTTCGGCTTTGAAACAGAGATGAGCACCGCAACCCTAGAGTCGGATTTGACTGGCTTTCGAGCAAGGGAACCTTTACCTTTTTAAAAAAAAGGTAATATTGGATGGAGTTCAGAATTAAGTTCAAGTTGAGTAATTTCAGGGTTCCATTCTCTGCCCTATCAATGGATAAACTAGCACCATGAGCTATTACAGATTAACAGCTGCTTCAGGAGAATACTCAGGTTAGCCTAAGAGTCACATGCCCTTTATCTCACTCCTGTGGAGGTTAATATATGCTAGCAATAACTGCTTCTACGAACAGCTGGCAGGTGTAAAGAATGAGTATCATCTAATGCATGCCATGAGAAAGGCAAAGTTTCATTCAAGACCAACTAAAGTCAATCACTAAAGCTGGTTCTTCTGTTGTCCCCTTCCATCTTTCTACATTCCTTCCCTTTCTTCTGCTGCCGCTTCTAATCTTGTTGAACCTTACTTTTCTCTGCTCTTTCTGCTACTAATCAGTTTTCTATTGCGGCTCCTGCTTCTGGAATTCTTCTGCATCATTTCTACCCCTTTCCACTTTCATAAGTGTCACTTTTTGAGTACTTAAAACAAAACACAAACTTTCCCCCTCCATCTCACAGCTCAGCTGTTTTCCATTTCCCTCATCCTCCCTCCCCAATAACCTCAGATACAGCACAGCAGAAGAGAAGGTTTTGGCTATTAGGTATATATAATTATTTTATTATAGTTATTGTTTTAATTTCTAGCTTTCTTCATAAGCCACACAGAAAACTAGTTGCAGTTGAGGAGCAAGACAGAAAAAGTTCAAATAAGCAAATGTCAGGAAAAAAGACCACGTATGGTTATTTGGCACTTGTATACTCTGCCCCATTCTGGATTAATCATCATAAAGCCAGATGAAGAATGCATTACTTTCCCCACGGGCAAGGGCCAACTGTAGAATGTTTAATGTCCTGCCATATCTCAACAGGACAGGAAGTCATCAAAAAGTTATAGAAAGCTACAACTTTTAATATTGTCCAATAAAGAACAACACTAATTAAATATTCTACACAGACCAGTTCTAGGATTTAGCTCTTTCCAGTTCAGGCCTTAAATTAGGTAGAATATATTTGTGAACTATCCCACATGGGCCAAATGACATTTTGACGAGAATCTGAGAAACTTAAAGGGGACGGCAAGAGATTCTTCCAGAATTTCATTTACCATATCATAACCATACTTCAACCTGGCATAAAACCAAACTGAACAAGGTAACGCCGGTCAGCAGCTTCTTGCCACAATGCTAGCATGCCATACCATGGTGAGTTCAAACTAGCTTACTTACAGCTATTTGAGTATCTAGGTCTTTAATTACATCAGAAACTGCTGTGGGACCAGTGAAGGGAGAGGCCATTTTCAAGGGGGGAAAGTTCCTGCAAATAAACAGTCAGGGTTAAACCTACAGACCTTTCCTTTTGCAAATGCTTATGATTCCCACAAGCCATTTTGTACCAAATATTGTCACACAGGACAGGAGCTCTGATGGATGTCCAGTATACCTGTAGTTAAATTAAATTGTGCCAGGAAGGGGACACATGCACCTTACCCCTTTCTCCCCACTCCCCTTACAAGGAACATTACGAATAACTAAATTGATTTGTTATGTACAATGCAACCAGGCAGTTTAACTAGAGCTCATTTTCCATCCACAAACTGGGGATCCTAAACCAAGAGAAAAGCAGTTCAAGTTAACCATGGATACAAATTAAGGTGTGTGGGTTAATCAGAACTGGTCCATTCATTGTGAACTATCCAGGAAAAGGGGTGGAAAGGAGATGCTCATGAGTCCACCACAACCCAGTTTCATGCATATTTTTATTTAACCATGGGTAAACTGGACATCAATAAAGCCACTGTTCCTTCTTCACTTAAAACTCAATATACTATGGGGGGAAAACATTATGAGAGGGATTCAGTGATGTCCTTTCCACCTACTCCTGATTCTTGAAACATTTTGTATAATGCCACTGATCTAAGCTACCATGGTAAAAGATCTTAAGTGTGCATTGGTGCAACACTTCGGTTAGCAACTAGAACCCTGGCATCTAATCCAACCCACCTGCTGTTCATGGATTATGTTTACCACAAACATTTTGTGGTTAGTTCTTCCTATTTGATTCCCTACTCCTCCACTTACACCTGCTGGACCTTGGGCAAGCCATAGTTCTGGCTCAGCTATTCTTGAAAAAAAGAGCAGTTTCTGTCAGAGCTCTCTCAGCCCCACCTACTTCACAGGCAGTGTTCCCTCTAAGGTGAGTTAGTGTGAGCTAGCTCACAGTTTTTTAGCCTCTGGCTCACACATTTTTGTCTTGGCTCAGGAAGGAAGGCTCCAGAGCAAGCTGATTTATGCAGTAGACAAATTGCTTGCTCACAACTTTAATGCCAGTAGCAAACAAAGTAGAATTTTTGCTCACAAGACTCCACAGCTTAGAGAGAGCATTGCTCACAGGGTGTCTGATGTGGGGAGGGGAAGGGAAAGGAGTTTGTAAGCCGCTCTGAGACTCCTTTGGGTAGTGAAGGGCGGGGTATAAATCCAATCTCTTATTCTTCTTCTCTGATAGCAGCCATTTTCTGATTGCACCTCCCACCTTGTGTCAGAATTCCAAAGGCGTCCACAGGCTCAAAAAGGTTGGAGACCCCCAAAGTAAACTAAGTCAATGTAAATGCAAACAAACCTGTCTTACAGGTAAACCTGTCTTACAGATAAAATGGAAGAAAAATAAAATATAATTCTTGAATAAAAATGCAATAGAAACAAATTACCAGACAGTAGTAAAGAGAGACACTTAGGCTTCTGTTAGAGAACTACTGGCAGTATTGCATCACCTTCTGCTGAGCAAGAATACTGACTTTATTTACATAGCCCATACATACCACTTTCCAATGTCATCTAAAGCACACTGACAAAGCCTGCAGAAACAGATGAGTTGTCAAACTAATCTTCCTCCTCTTCCCCTCCATTCCCTTATGCATTTTTGCCTTTTCAATCTGTAAACTAGGGTCTTATTTTCATTTCCAAACTCCATCTTGCAGTCTATGTTTAACCAATATGATCCCTCCAGGATGTCAGTCTCTTGAAAAGCTGGCTAGAGATAAAAGCAACACAAGCAATCCCACATACTATTAGACTCCAAGCCTGGGGGTGGGGGAGGGGGACAGACAAGCTAGAACTCTCAGGAATTTAAAGCTATTCCCCTCTGCCAAATACAAACATTTCTGTTTCCCAAAATGGCTATCAACCTAAATCACAATCACCACATTATGTACACAACACTACCATGAATTAGGTTAGACTAAGAATTGGTGACTGGCTAATGGTCAACTCAATATGTTTCAGGGCAGAGTGGGTTTTCAGCCTGGGTCTCCCGGTCCTACACAATGCTGCACTGATTGGTATCAGGTACACAGCCATGTTAGTCTGTAGTGGTAGAACAAAACTTTATTCTACAAACAAAATTTTCTAGGGTATGAGTTTTCATGCACTGACCTGGATAGCCCAGGCTAGCCCGATCTTATCATATCTCAGAAACTAAGCAGGATCAGCCCAGGTTGGTATTTGGATGGGAGACCACCAAGGAAGTCCAGGATTGCTAAGCAGAGGCCAGCAATGGCAAGCCACCTCTTGTCTTGAGAGCCCTACAGGGTTGCCATAAGATAGCAACAACTTGACGGCACTTTCTACCACCACCAAGCTTTTATGAGAGGTGTTACCAAGAGGTGCCGGCTGGAATCAGCATACAGAAGTACAGTGCAAAACAGAAAGCAGTTTGATTACAGTAAGGTAACCACAGATGTGGGACATGCAAAAAAGTAACATCTGTGATAAGGTAAGAATCTTGTGCCCCTATTCAGCCCTTGGGAGGGGGGTCTATTGTCCTGGACCACATTCTCTGTATTTTAACTCTCATCTGTCCATTCTTGGTAACACCTTCTAACCTAAGGGCTGACAGATCTTCATTCTCATTTGTACTTGACAATGTGAGCGTTGAATCACCAAAGCTTATACCTTGGGAAATTCTGCTGGTCCTGAAGGTGCTAATAAATTCAAGTAAAACAAAAACTATAGAAAGGGAAGCACAACGGAATTATGGCTAGATCCAACCCCTACAAGGGTACTACGGCCCCACAGAGAAGCTGGGAGAGCAGCCTAACCAGACACGGGAAGAAGCAGGAGAGGGCTGCTTGCCAAGGGAGGTCGTGCGGGGTTGCCCACTTCAGCTTAGGAAACTCCTGGAGATTCAGGGACAATGCTTGGAGCGAGAGCATTTGGGAAAAGAAGGGAAGTCAGTAGGCATATGATGTAATCGGATCCACCCTCCAAAGCTACAATTTCCTCCAGAGAAACTGAGCTCGGTAACTCCAGGCCTTACCTGGCAGCTGGCAACTCCACTCCGACGGTTTCTAGGCCGCCTCAAACCAGGCGGGCGCCTCGGACTCTCCTCCTACCCCTCGGCAACCCCTTACAGCCTAAGCCTCGGCTGCCTTTGGCACTGCTCCGCAACGCCCTCACACGCACCGGCCGCCTATCTCGCCATATCCGCGTCCCACCTCCGACTGCCGCTTCCCTCTCCTCGAGAAATCGCCGGGCCACAACACTTCCGGGATCACGACCCGAACCACCGCCACAGCGCCTAGGAACTTAAGGCAGACCGCGCGCCCAACCAGCCAACCAATCAGAAGCCCCCTCGCTTTCTCACGGCTCTGTTCTCTCACTGGAGTCTCGAGAATAACTGCGCATGTGCGCATTCAGGACTTCGGCATTTAGATAATTTTTTTAACGTTTTCTGTTTCTGAGGGACGCTTGATTGAAATATGTTTGTTCA